AGACTATTATTTGAAATGATGTATCCTAAGAATTCAATTTGAGTAGTGTGGAATATAAACTTTTTGATCTTGGCATACAATCTCACATCTCTAAGTTTTTGTAATATACGATGAATATGAACTTCATATTTTTCTATATTCTTAGAATAGATTAAAATGTCGTCTAAATAACAAACAACAAAATCATCTAAAAACTCACAAAAAATATTATTCATAAGATGTTGAAAAGCAGTTGATGCATTTGTGAGTCTAAAAGGCATGACGTTATATTCAAAGTGTCTATACCTTATTCAAAATACAGTCCTCCATTCATCTCCTTTTTTAATACAAATTAGTTTATATGCTCCTCGTAGATCTATTTTTGTATAGATCTTAGTTTGATTTAATTGATCAAGAAGTTTAAATTTTAAAGGTAGAGGATATCTATTTTTGATGGTAATCTTATTGAATCCTTGATAATCCACATATATTCGTAAAGATTCATTTTTTTTCTTCACAAATAAAATAAGAGCTCTTGCACGAGATTTTAAATAGCGTATGAAATTTTTGGCCAAGTTTTCATCAATATACTTCTTAAATTCAACCAACTCATTTTGTGATAAAGTATAGATTGGACCAAATGGCAACTGAGTTCCTCCCTTAAGATCAATTGAGCAATCGTGTGGATGATGCTCCGAGAGAATATCTATATTCTTCTTCTCAAAAACATCTTGAAAATCTGGATATTGACTTGGAATTTCACTTGAAATCTTCACATCAAAAATGAATGTGGTATAAATAACAAAAGACGATCCTTCTTTTGTAGCATGCCAAAAAGCTTTTATACCTACAAGTACAGGTTTAGCTACACTAAACTCATGGCTTTCTATTGAATTAGAAAAAATCTTAATGATGTTTGAAGAAAAGTCAAGTTTACAAGAAATCCAATCTATCATAGGATTATATTTTTTTAGCCACAATAAACCTAAAATGACTAGATTAAAAGGAGATCTAATTATACTAAAAATTATGCAACTATTATGACTATTTATTACTACATATATAAGAAGTGTTTTATGAGTAATATCTCTAAAAGATAACTGACCACCGTCTATGACTTCTACTTATATGGATTTAGTTTTTCATACTAAATGTATATTATGACTTTTAACTAATTCTTCATCTAAAAAATAAGTGAAGGCTCCTAAATCTATTAAAATAGAGGCTTTGTGATTATTAGATACTAAATGGATATCTATAATAAAACAAGGAGAGGATTTTGAGGAGAGAAGAGGACTTTTTTTTAGAAATCGTACAAGATTTCAATCGCACGGTTCCTATTGTACCTAGATAAATTTGCTTTTTCAACATGTTTTCATCTTTGACAGTAGTACTCCTCATTTTGTATTTGCATTGTTTCTTTGGACAATATTGAGAAGTATGTTTAGCTTTTCCACAATATAAACATAGTCCTTCTTGATGACAACAAGTCTTTTCTTGTTCGGTAAGAGGTTTAAAGCATACTACATCAATTTGTATGTCTTCTACTTTCAAATGTTTAGATTGAGAAGTTGTTGGTATTGCCATTAAATTGGAATAACATTGAAGTTTTCTTGTGCAATTTTGGAATCAAAATTCAAAAAGCCAATAATCACATTTCATAGCAAAGTCAATTGCTTGACTTAATATTTGAGGATCAAGTAAATTGAGCATCAATTTTTTTTACTTCATATTATAATGTATAGAAAAATTGGCTGAGTGCTACATCATTCTACTTAAAATTTGTTACTAATTATCAAAATTGTAAAGCATATAATGACACTAATTGATTACTTTATCGCAAGATATGAATCTTATTGATTGCAACATGAATTGCATCATATTTTCTATATATGGATTAAAACTCTACTAAAAATGCTTCCAAATTATCCAATATTGCATCATGTCGTTCAAGAAATGATGAAAATCATGATAAAGCAAAACTTGAAAATAGTAATTCAATAAACCTGTCTTGTGAACCTTGAGTTGGATAACTTTGAGGTTGTAGTTCAATCACCAGTTGTACCTAATTGATGAATCCTCGAAACTTAGATATTGTGCCATCAAACTTTTTAGGTAATCCAATTTTTGGTTCCTTGAAACTTGAACGATGTTTTGTTGTACGAGCATTAGTATGGCTTAATGTAGATGTTGAAGCAATTCCAATCATCTCTATATCTTCATTGCTTATTAATCTTATTATTCCTTGTGATAGTAGATTGAGTTGATGCATTGCAAGCATTAACTCTATCATTTGCTCTTGCATTTGAGCCATTGCATTCTTCAATTCAACAAGCTCTACCATGCTAGCTCAATAAAATAAAATAAAAGGTGTTTATTCTCATAGGATATAATACTTAAGAATCAAGAAAAAAATTCTAGAAATAATATTAGTTTAGAAGAAGGTAATTCACAACTTCTAATACGCTTATGTCTTATCAAGAAAAAAGAGTAATCCACTCTTAATCAAGAAAAGACAAAGCTAAGTGCCATCTAAATAATCGCCCTAAATTATTTTTAGAATGTTCCACAATGGGTCCTATGTGGTCCATTAACTAGATCCCAATTCTAGAAACTTTCATGGTTCTATATGTCTATACAATTATCTTATCTATACCATGTTACAAAATTTATAGATAAATAAAACAAAAGTCATGACAACAACAATAATAAGTACTTTGTTCCATATATATTTTTTGATTAATAAATGACCAAATTATAACATTAGTTTCAAAAAAATATTAATAGAAGTACATACATTAGTTTACATAAGTAAGTAGATAATACATCATTTATTTTTTTATAAATAGCTTTTATATTATTCAAAGGTTTAAAATTTATATTTTCTATTTATAAAGTTATTTTTGTACTATCTATGATAAAAAACTATTCAATATATTTTTTTTAGAAAACTTTCTTAAAACAATGTTGTATGATTCATTGATCTTTTTTAAACTCAAAATCAGCATGTTGTGTTAAGAAATTATTATTACTAAAAGATCAATTTTATCATACTACTTAATAAAGATCTTGTAAACTAATAAAACTAAATTAAAAAAACAAACAAACAAACAAACATGATACCATGTTCTCTTATTCATAAAAATAGAAGTTAAACATGCATTTCAAACAGTAACAAAAGACACTAACACTATTATTTTCAAAGATTTAACTTATGAGGTTTTTCAATAGTCTGCATTGATAAAAGCCAAGCTACTGAAAATAATAAATCATAGTGATACATTTTTTTGATTCTCTAAGTATTTATATTTTCATGACATAAATACAAGTTGTAAACATATTTTTTTGGTTATTCTGAAAAACCATGTAAAAATAATCAGAATTGTAAATGTATTTGTAAACTAATTGTAGTAAATGAATAAAAAATTTATTGACTAAAATTACTATTTTTTTGGGTACTGGTTATGCTATGTTAAGATGATATCACTTCTAACTATTTGAAATGAAACAAATACAGTAAATCATATAAGTTTGCATCCAAATGAATTTAAAAAACTGTAAATTTCATTACTTTGCGATTCAGATAGTGTGTCTTGCATTCTAAAAGGGTAGATTACATCAATCAAAATACGTCAAACACATTTTATTATAAGACGATGTGAGATTTGTTTTGATATTTTAAATAATCAGTTAAACTAGTTATCCAATCTTTGATATTTTACACTGAAAGTTGTGATTTGGCAAATTCCACTTGAAAGTAGATGTATTTGATTACTTTTAATAATTAAATCATGTTTAAAAATCCATTGAATATTGAATGCAGAATTTGCTTATTATAATTGTATTAATTATATATTTTAAGGTAATAACATTCAATAGAAAAAATAATGCATATACATATAGCAATGCAAAGCTTTCTCCATTTCTTTTATTTGAAAACAAGCAAGACTTTTTATCTTCATTAACTTACATGTGTAAATCCAATGGACTTTACATCCAATTCATCTTTGCACATTTAGATTTTCATTTGTTTTGTATATATACATATGTATATTAAATGTTGGTTGAGTTTTGAACAAGTATTATATCAATGTTGAATTCTCTAGAATACATGTATATCCGTGCAATAGTGGTGCCTTTTAGGTCCACTTTATATGAAGTTTCTTCTTTCTCAACACCTTTTTGGACTAAGAAATATTCTATTGTGACTTTTTCACATCCCTTAAAGAAAACTATAGCACAATGTACACCATGTTCTCTCTCTCTATATATAATCAAATCATAATTTGGAATTGTTCAATTTTTATTTATAAATAATATCATATCAATATATTTTAAAAAATTATTTCATGATTAATTTGGAAGACATGTACTTCAAAGCAAATAATTGATGATATACTTATCATATGTTGTGGATTTTTTGTGATTATTTTTATTTATTTACTTTTGTATATTGTGTGTTGGTGGTGGTGAAAGAAAGAGAAGTAGGGAGCTTTCAAGCCCAAACTCCAAAATCATCACATATGAGGGTATTATTTTTTCCAATAGTACTTTTCATGTTGCTCTTATTGCTTTTCATACCACTGTCTCTTCATATTGAAATTAATAAATATTTAAGTGTAGCAACTTCAAAAAGCTATATTTGGGTTCATAAATTTATGGGATCAAAATTGTCTTTGCATTTGAACATTTACTATAGTTGCAATCACCTCGTTAATAGTATGTTTCATAATGAGGCGGCCTTCATTATAATTTACAAATAATCGGCATTTATAATAAGTTAATGAAGTTATATAAGCGCCAGCAAGTGAAGACTACAGTTAAAATCAGAAACATTTATTAAGCTGCTCGCTGCTGACGTAATCTCAAATTTCACGCCAGCGTGGCCACCAAGCGATCCCAAATTGGCCCCCGTGGAGACCAGCTCAGCACCTGGCCCCTCCCTCGAGAGGGAACGTGTTCCTATGGTCCGGGAACGGTTCCGGAGAACCGAACCTATAAGAACGCGGCTCTCTCTACGGAGCGGTTGTTCTTCCCTGCTTGGCAAACCCTAGAACACCTTCTTCGTTTTCTTATTTAACGGGCGTGCTCGTTCCCTTCGTACTCCCAACCTTCTCAATCCATTGCGCACCGTCGCCGGAATTCGAAGGTCTTGAATCATCACGCCCTATTGCTATCCAGAGAGGAGGTACTTGGCTGTGGCTGTGATGCGATTATGTCATGTGTGAGAAGCTTATTTTAAGTTACCTTTTTCGATAAGCGCTGCATGGTTGTTCGCTGTGCCGGTGTTTGAGGAAACCGTGGTGGGAAGTCGGCATGTCGAGCGATTGGAAGAAGGCGGGCGGGGTGAAGGAGCCGAGTGCGCACACAGATGACGTGCAGAAGGATGATGCTCATGTTTTGGAGGATGGTGAACATGTGAGTGGCGAGGATATGGGAAAGGAGGTTGATGATAGTGGAGCTGTAGGCACGAAAACGGCGGTAGGTGAGGAAAATGCAACTGACGCACACGCTTCGGTAGCCGCACCCGCGACCATGACTGACATTGAGAAGAAAAGGAAGAGGGCCGAGCGTTTTGGTACGGACCTCAGGATAACTGAGGCTGACAAACGCAAGCTGAGGGCTGCCAGATTTAGTGGCGGTTCAAAGAATGGAGCAGTAGCAGGGGAGGCGGGGGTTGAGGTGGAAAAAACAGGTTCTGTGAAGGCTCCGTCTAAGGCCCTGCTTGAAGCTGAGAATGCGAAGAGGAAAGCTCGTGCGGAACGTTTTGGCGGTCCGCCGGAAGAAGTTACTGTGAAACCTAAGTCTCCCCAAAGTGTCGTCGCTGCGAAACCTAAGTTAGCCCAAGATGAGGAGGCTAAGAAAAAGGCTCGCATGGCGAGATTTGCTGTGGCGGCGAAATAATGTTTTGAAGGGATTGAGGTCTGATGCAAGTTACGCAGGATAAATCAAGCAAGCGGTGTTCCTCACTTGTCTACCTGATTACATTTTCTTGTCTGTGCATGTAGAGCTCTCGGTTTGTTGCGGTCATTTTACTGAGGCGTCCCTAGGTGTCATTCCTGTTTCTTGGTGACGTGTTCCTAAACATGCATTCTGTGCTCCCCAGTCATGCTTGCGTGAGTAAGTATCGCGGTTGGTGTGTCGGTTTGCTTCGGGTTTGCGTGTCGTTATCGTTCTGCCGTGGGTGTACTTGAGATCTTTCGGAGGAGTATCAGTATCCGTGTCTGTCCAAGTTTTGCAGTTCCTTGATTTGTGTGTGGTTCAGTTTATGGTTAGCTCCTGTGGTGCCATTTGCAAAGTGAGCAACCCAGTAGCATGCCATGTGCAGAATTGGATGGGTATTCCTCTGATGTTTTTAAGATTCCATATTATTTGCTTGTATCCTTCTTACGCCTTCACCTAGCTACCTTCGCTTGATGTTAGGAATGCGTTTCCTACCGGCTTTTGTGTATACGTGTTAGTAGATTTTCGTTGTCTTGCAAAGTCTTCTAAATTTTTGGTCGAAGTTATGTTCAGCGTGGGGCTTGTTGAATTCTAATACATGCCTTATCGTTAAACATTATCATGCCTTTTTCCCTTTCGCTGTTCGCTAGCACGGTTTATAAAGTGGTATTCAGATGTTCTTTGGGAATGTATGCTTTAATTCACAAGAATGAGTCTACACTTGTATTCAGCTACTTGCTCATTATGTAAACTCGTTCTTTGTTTGATCAAATGGGTGCAGTAATCGATGCAAACCTAGCGGCTTGTCTTTGGGCTATTTGTTTGTTATAACGTATCAACATTTCTAAAGAACTATGTCAACCCAAAGTAATGTCATTGTCATTGTGAATAGTCGGTTGACTTTCCTTCATGCGAACGTCTCTTGCTTTTAATTAGATTGACACTTTCACAACGGTCAAGATTTGAACTCTTCCGCTGGATTTGATGCGAGTCTCGGTGGTGAACGAAGTTGTCATCTGCTTGTTGTTTGGCATTCGCGTTAACAACTTCCGTTTGTTTGTTTGCTTGTCTATTTATTATTTTGTGTGTGTGTGTGTTTGTGTGAGAGTGACTAAGGGTCCCTGTTTTATTTTTCTTTCTCCTTTCCTTAACTGTCTGTCACCTTCCTTCATTCCCGTCCTCCTGAATTAGGTACTTTTTTTTTCTCCCTTTTTTCCTATTAGTGTCGTAAACATTCTGTCATTGTTTGACGTGTTTTCATATAAAAGTCGGCTTTGAAGAAATCGTCTACAGGTGTCGATCTTCTAACTTGAACACATTAGATATTGGTTAGATGCTTACTGCAGGATAGATTTGGCCTAGCGTTCTTTCTCTCGAAGATCTAATCCAGTTACCCATAAAAAAATTAGAGCTTACAGTAAGAAGATTTTGAAGCAGCAAAGTGCATTTTAACTAGGTCTCAATCATCTGACAGTATAGTTGGACTTCGGAGATGATATTTTAAATCTGCTGTATCTTTTATTGAACATCTTTTCCCAACTTAATGTCACCAAAATGGTGTGTTCTATTGTGTTTTGGATTATTTTCAGTTTCTCCAGCACTTCCCGACATTTGGCAATTAGGCTGTGGACTTGTGAGTGTTGTAGAACCAAGAAAATCCTTCCAAGTACAACTTTAAATCTGAAATGGTTGAATATTGGTGTTTGTCTTGACATCAACCCAGATGTCTGCCCTCATTTTGTTTTTATTTACTCACTTTTGTACTGTTGGAGAGAACAACGAGGAATCATCACAAATTAACTTACTGCTGTATTTCCCTTTCTCTTATACTCTGGAAATAATTTAAGTCTTTAAATCATCAAGACAATTTCTCTGAAATATCCACCAAGCAAAAAATATTCACAAATTAATCAATCTTTATTTGTCCTCGAAAGGTGTCTTTTTTCTTTTCTACATATCTGAGATTGAAATTTTACAGTGTAAGCTGTTGGGAGAAATTGTTGTCAGTAAGTTCTACTGAAATTATTCTGTATGCAACACATTGATCAGGAGACATCCGCTTCATTAAATTCCATTTTTACAAATTTCGTGAAACTAAGCTACATTTAAGCTGGAGCTACCCTCACAGTGACACATACACTCTCAGCGTCTCATCCCCTGTCGGTACATTCTAAGTGTTGCAAGTCTGTGGCAGATGAACATGCAGTGTGGAAACGAATATACAGGGCAGTAGGGTAGTGTAGTTGGATCCTCACCGACCTGCTTTTCTCGTACCTGCTGCTTTTGCTTCACGTCCGCCCCTTAAGAGGTACCAGGGGAGAGGAAGAGGAAGGTCTTTTGTCCTGAGACTTCGTGCTGCGCCAGCAGGGGAAAGGCTGTAGTGTAGCGTAGCGCAGGCCAGTTTACACCGAGTCTCGCCAGACGAATCTCCGGTTGACCACGCTTTACAGGCGTCATCCGATGCGGCAACAGGGCTGTGAGCGATGCATCTCGCCTGTAGACCCGGAACAGCCATAGCCGTGTGGGGGGGGGGGGGGGGGGGGCATAGAAAGCAGCGAAGCCAGAGTGGAGCGTCTGTTCGGAGCGGAGGTTGTATATTGCCGGGTATGCTTGGAGTCATAATATCATCTTCATCATCATCTTCTTCATCATATTCTTCTTCGTCTTCTTCATCATCTTCGTCTTCTTCCTCGTCGCTCACGTCTTTTTCTTTTCCCTCCTCGAGATCATCCAGGCTGCTTTGCAAGCCTGTCTCCTTACCCTGCAGTCACCCCTTCTCAAAACCTTGGGCATCTTTGTGTTAAGCCTTGTTTCTCGCGTTGCTCAGTTGTGGAAGAGTCCGTTTGTGTGAGCCGCGGGAGAGCCTCGTGTGCTGCCCTGCGGTAGCCTTCCGTCCGCAAACCCTTTCTTCTTCGTTCAGTTCTCGTCGGCTTCGTTCGCGCGCGGAGGTTTTTTCCGTTGGTATGTGTATTGGTGGCGATGTTTTGCGCCATGGACTTGCTTTGCTTGTCCACTGTGGCGGGATAGCGCGTTTGTGGAGTGGTGAGATTTTTATGTGATTTTGTAAGCGTGCGGTGATTTTCTCCGGGGTTGCGTTGGTGTGGATTGTAGCGGTGGTTGAAGCCATCGGGGTGGGACGTTGCACGGAGAGATGGGAGCTGTGACCTCGTCTGTGGCAGCGAGGTTTGCGTTTTTTCCTCCGACGCCTCCGTCTTATCAGGTAGTTGTAGATGAGGCGACGGGCAAGTTGCGCATGACGGATGTGGCGCCGCGCGAGAATGTAGATGTGTTGAAACTGCAGACTAGGCGGAACAACGAGATTGTGGCGTTATTTGTGAGGCATCCGTCGGCGTCCTTGACGCTGCTTTATTCACATGGAAATGCGGCCGACCTAGGTCAAATGCATGAGCTGTTTGTAGAGCTTAGTGTTCACCTTCGGATCAACATTCTCGGGTGAGTGATGAATATATATTTTTTTTTATTCGTTTTTTTAATCCCCCCCCTTTTCTATCTCTTTTTTTTAGTGTTCCGGGAAATCTCCTAATTTCACTTGTACATGGTATGTCCTTATTGTAGACATATTGTATGAATATTAATCGTAAGCATGCTTCACGCTTGGGATTATGGTTTCAAAATATGATACGCAATCACTTAAATCTCGGAATCACTAGCTCGGCATGAGTTCTATAAACGGTTTCATTTCCGGTTACTATGGCGGTTTAGGTGCGGTCCTTATTTTAGCGCCGCTCATGATAGGTCCCAGTTAGATCTGTGAGTACTGGAATATGTTGTTCATAGCAGCAGATTCGAGATTGAAATCTACGTCGAATGTGAAAAATGGCTTGCCGAAATACCCGGCAGAGCATTATTATGAGCTATGGTACTAAAGGAAGATAATCACCCTTTTAGTCGAGGTCGAAGGGTTTCACTTACCCCGGCTGCAGTTTGAATGTTATAGACGTTCAACCTGTCTCATCTCGGCTTTGGCGAGCGTATGTCTGAGCATCAGCTCGTTCACTCTCTCCGGGAGTCTGTGTAGCAGTATAGGAGCATCCATCTTGGTCAGTATCCACTGCTGTGCTCATTTACATCCTTTGTACTTCGGTTTGAATGTCGAACCAGATCATCTTCTAGCGATGCTATTTCTAGAAGTATTTCGAGTTGGTTGAAAATTGCGCTCCCTTGTATGGTGGACATTGTGGTCATTCAGTAGATAGGAGTTTTGTGTGAATGTTCTTTTATTTTTTTATTTCATTTTTACTATTCCGTTTCGTTTTATTTAATATGTTTTTTGTTCTTTATGTATATCTTTTTTCTCCCACGATTGAAGCAGCCGTTATATCAGTACTCTGACGAGACTGATGATATGGTCTTGAGGTCATAATCGACAGTGAATTTCAACGCATACTTTTTGTAGCTCTGTTCACGTACTATTCTAGTTGTACTTAGTTTTGGGTTTGGTTTTTTCTTTTGATAGTTACTTCTTGTAAACGCATAGCATCGACGACCGGCAAACGTGGCTACTATATTTAATTAGATGAACCACTACTTTCCATATTTGATAACTTCCACACTCCATCTTGTTTAACTTTGATTTTCATACGTTAGCGTAGGTATTGTTAATAGATTAGTTCGTCAACTATGTAGTGCATTGGCCATTGAAGTTGAGGTCTATGAAACCAGATACTTTTCCTGCGGCACTGGATTAGCCTGCATTGTTTCTAAGAAGTGCCAATCTTGAAACCTTGGCGGGCCTCTTGTGAATTGAGCGATTCCTTCCTATCCCGTGTGTATGCTGTTTCAATTTCAGTTGTTTTGAATTTGTTGATTTTTAATTCGAAATATGTTGATTCATTTAGTGTGTGGCTTGATCCTTATGTGCAGTTATGATTACTCAGGATATGGTGCATCCACTGGCAAGGTTAGTCTCTCCTTTCTTGTCAAGGCAGTGGTATATCATTAATCCAGGACGGGGTTGTGGACGGTCTTTCTAGGCAATATTAAGTTTGACTTTCGTTATTCTACCCATCAATTCATGTGAATCGTTTTTGGTCAAGATACCCCACATAGGTTGATCTAATTCTGACAGGATTTATGAGCCTTCTCACATAATGCCAACATTGTTAACGCCTTTTGGATTAGTACGGTAATGCTTACCCACGAACCGTGGTAAATCGGATTTTTAAATGTGAATCCTCTCCGTGCTTTGGTAACTGGGATATTTGCATAGCAGTATCTGATTTGGTTTGAGCTCCGGCTTTTCCCACAAACCGTGGTAAATCGAATTTTTAAATGTGAATCTTCTCCGTGCTTTGGTAACTCGGATATTCGCATAGCAGTATCTGATTTGGTTTGAGCTCCGGATTTTCCTCTATGTGGTCCTGTTTTGGTCGAACTCTTATCGTGTTTTTTTTGTTTTTATACTTATTGTTTTGGTGTTTTGATTTTTTGATGTTTTGTTTTGTTTTGTTTTTTTGGTTTTCTAGCCAAGTGAACCAAACACATATGCAGATATAGAAGCAGCATACAAGTGCCTGGAGGGCACGTATGGTATTCGCGAAGAGAATATTGTGTTATACGGGCAATCAGTAGGCAGCGGACCTACTTGTGATTTGGCTACTCGGCTACCCAGTCTTCGAGGTGTTGTACTTCACAGTCCAATCCTTTCCGGACTTCGAGTTATGTACCCAGTGAAACGCACGTACTGGTTTGACATTTACAAGGTATGCTGATGAACTATTCCTTATTGCAGCAACACGTAATGCAGGTTTCACAAATTCACACGGAATCTCTTCCAAAGCTTTTATTTTATATGAGCAGACCACTCACTTATTTCTGACTGAAATTAAAAAAATAAGACTCATTCATTGTAGCATTTCCATCTTGGTACTACTGGGGACTTGTTCAGCGGTCTGTGGGGCTACTTTTTCTTTCCTTCACCAAGATTAGACTGTAATTGCTATTATGTCCTTGCCATTGGCTGTGTGAAATCGGTTCTTTTGTAATATTTCGCTTTTCTATCCCTTCTTACTCTCAAGATACTCGGCTGAAGTCGCATCATTATTATTATATCTCTGAATGATGTTGGAAATAGTTAAATTAATGCTTCTCCTAAAATGTGTATTTTCTACAATTAATTTTGCAGAACATTGACAAAATTGGTCAAATCTCCTGTCCCGTACTCGTGATGCATGTAAGTATGCGCTTTCCTCCCTCCGAATATTTCCTCAACTGTGTCCATATTTTGCCCAAAACTTACAAATTTTCTCTTGTTCATGCTCGGAATGGAGTAGTTTGGTTTATATGCTATTTTTCATGTATTAACTGCTGATCATAATTTATAGTTTTGTGGTAGAAATGTTACTAATTCGAAGATACAAGATTGATTTTTATCGTTTTATTTTTTCGTGAATGACTTAAGTTGACTGATCAAATGGCGAGTTTATAAATTACAGGGAACGTCTGATGAAGTAGTTGATTGGACACACGGTAAGCAACTACATGATCTATCCAAGGAGAAATACGAGCCGCTGTGGTTGAAAGGTGCTGGTCATTGTAATCTGGAATTGTATCCAGAATACATCAAGCACCTCCGCAAGTTCCTTCAATCATTGGAGCGATCTCCTGACAGCACTAAGAAGTCCTTGGAATCAGCCTAGACCTAATTTCAGTCGAATGTGTTCAAGAATCTTCTTTCGGGAGTTTGTATATAACGCCTTGCTGCGGTTTACATGTTTCAGGAGCTTTCTGGTCTGGCCCGACTAACTCTGATAGTGCTTAGGAAAAGGTGGATTTCGTTTATTGAGTCTGACTTAGCATTTCACTAGTGGTACTTCCGATTAGTTTTTCACAAAGCTTTCCCAAGTTAGTGGAGCAGTAGAAGTTTCTTCAAGTGGACCAAAAAGGCTATGCTATTTTGTTTTTATTACAGGGTGCAAGTTCGTTCTTAGAAATGTATTGCTGATTGTGAATGTTTTGTCCAGCATGCGTCACCAATCATTGTAGTCGAAATAAAGTCATCCTTTCAAAAGGTCGTTTGTGGCGTCACATTCAAAGGTTTACTTTTAAAATAATGTGGAATAGTTTGTCGTTTGAGTGTATGGTTCACTGCGTTGCCACTTGGTAGGGTTTGTGTTTTAAATTTTATTTACCGCTTCTTGCCACGGATCGAGACATTATAACTTTTTGAATTTTGCAACTGGCGTAAGAGAAAAATGCAGCTTTCACGTAGTAACATGACATGGGTATTTCTGGAATTATCAACGATATACTCGAGTTCCATCTTGAAGGAGTTTTCCGCTGTGAATCGAAATCACAAGGTGAGACTAAGTCGCTTAACACACGTATACAAAATTTTAAAATTAATCGTGGCCCTTAGTATTACTATTAGGAATGAGTAGCTGTCGACTGTTGCAAGAAAATGCATGAAGGATACTTTCTCATTTGGAAACTCATTTGTGGCAATCAAGAAAATCTTGATGTATCTAGGGTTGGAATTCCACCACAAACATGATCCGCAATACATACATGTTTACAAATACACCTCGATGATAAATGGATAGTTTACAGGCACAAATCGTGTCTGATAAGAAACAGAATGAAGTCCTTGCAACTAAAGAATATATTACAAATTCCACAAGAGTTCCAATTTCGAAATATAGTACAACTTACTATGAGATTTTACTTGCCATCATTTCAATACAAACATTGTTTGAGTTTTAACATAACATATTTAGGTTCTGATGTTGCTAGTGTGGGATAACAAAGAGCTCATGCTAGCATAGGCTTAGACTCACTAATATTGACCAAGAAAAACAGTATGAGAGAAAGGATGACCCACAATGGGTACGGGAAATAGAGTCTCAAATTTCGAAAGCTCTACAATGCTTCCTGCTGACCAGATTTTATCTGGTAAGTACAGAATATACATAATGTGAGTTGAGACCAGACACTCCTATTCATTTGAACCCACCTGAAAATTTCGTGGCTTGAGTTAATAGATAGCGGAGTGGAGGAAAAATCAACTTTTCTATTAATTTAGTTCTTCGAAAATAAAGATGCAATTTCTGAAGCCAGACCAAAAGTCTTTAAACCTTAATAGAAGCAATGACAACTGTAACATGAAAATTGGGCACACGAATAATCCATCGTACTTACCAGATCGCATGTGAACAATACTTATGGAGCACAAATTATGGAGGAAATCAAACCTTTGGCTGTAATAAGAAAGAAGATGAAGAATCCCTACAGATGCTTACATCACCAGATAAAGAAGATAAATGATGAGAAGATCAAATGTACAAAGGAGAGGAACAAACCGAGTGCTGCAAGCCTGCACCATATATAATGAACAACACTAATCCGTATCAGAATTAAAGGGCCTCAGATTTTCTAACAGGTCTCTTGTCCCACCATTGACTAGATGATCAAAGCCATTAGATGAGCCTGGTTTCTCATCATGTTTCTTGGGCATCGGTCTGTTGCTCAAACCCCATATCCGAATCGTATGGTCGTCACTGGCAGATGCAAACATATGAGGATTCACCGGATTCCAGCTTACGCTGTTAACAGTGCCTGAATGACCTGACAACACGTCAAGTAACTCACCATTCCACCTGTGCCAGATGTATACCTGCAATACAATTACGAAAAACTTAGGGCATTTTCCGTAGTTGTGATAATTGCTATCTAAGTATCGGTTCTACTTGAAAATTACTGGGTTGATTGATCCAGAATGACGACAACCATGCAGAAGCACTCAGTATGGCTGAGAAGGGAATAAGATGTAAAACAGAAAAAGAAAATTCCAAGGAAATGAAAGAGAGACTCGGATATCCATTCGCGACTCAAAGACACCAGAGAGACAGACACACAGAGAGAGAGAGAGAGAGAGAGAGAGAGAGAGAGGGAGGGAGACCTGAGAATCTTCGCTACCGCTGACAATAAATGCATAATCGGTTCCACCGAAGCAGGATCGAATCACATATCGCCCTTGTTTGTGACCTCTATATTTCTTAGGCAGATCTTTTGTAGCTGCTGAAATGTCCCACAAATGTATCTCCTGACTCACCAAGTTAACCAACAAATATCTTCCATTTTTGCTCACTGAAAGTGAAGTAATTGGCTTCTCCTCCTCGATGACTCGCTCTGTTTTTTCCTCCAAGTTGTAAATGCGGATGTTCTTATGATCACAAATGCTAACCTGCCATGATCCATAAGAGTCATAACTTCATCACTGAAAATGCTTAATAAAGGATGGTACACTTGTGGTTTACATCACAGCGACAAAACTCTTAACGAATGCTGAGACACATGGGGCATCTTCTATGATACTAGGTCTGAAAAATTCGGAACCCGAAGTGATACATGGACAGTTTAAAATATTGTATATTTAGTTATGTTTTTCGGAGGAAATAACCTAGATGTATGAGGTATCCTTCAGATCAATCAGAACATATAGACATGTAGAACATTAAATATTAAAAAATACTTACCATATGACTTCCGTCAGTTGTGATGGCCAAATCATTGATGCGAGGCATGCGGGCACCTTTCCAAGCCTCCAACTCATGCCCCTTTACGAAAATGTCAGAACCAGGGACAAATATACAAAATCAGAAAGATTTGAAGCACAAAATATCTGAGATAGAACACCCAAGGAATGAATTGCCACGGTCCAATCAATCTTTTTCTCAAAAAGTGACGAACTGAGCGTCCTCGTCTCAAACAACGTGTCTAAATAGAAGGTCAGGCCTGTGGATCCTCAATGTGCAATGCAATTTTAAAATATTCAAACCTCTAAATAGTTAGGAGAAGTACAAGGGAAAAAACAATAAAGTAAAGGGACTTGGCCATGAACCGACATAGAATACCAACCAGATTTTCATACCTCTAAGTCCCACATATAGATACACTTGTCACCTCCACCAGATACAAATCGTTTTCCATCTGGGAACCATGCACAGGACGTAAAGCAGCTATTTGGTTTATCATAGGTATATTTGCACTGCCCAGTAGAAATGTCCCAAAGCTTCACGACTTCTTCATTCCCGCAAGTGAGTAGCATGGTGTCATCAGGACTCCAGGCTACAAAAGATACAGGCTTCGAATGACCAGTGAATTTATACTTCACCTTCAGGGAATCACCTTCTACAACCTGCGAATAGTCGAATAGCAAAACATAAGTCATTCACTGTCTGCTTGAGGCATTACTCACTTGAATAATTGTGAGCAGATACCTAAAACACATTAAGAGAAAAGGGAATAATAACTGCTTTTTTTGAGAGCCAGACATCATCCACAAAAAGCAACCAACCTCCCAAATGATGGCTGTGCAGTCTTTAGATGAAGATGCAAGGTAATATCCATCATGCGAAAATTGCAAAAACCAGACCTCATCATCATGCTCATCTAAAACCTGCGCAAAAGTGATAAAAAATTAATTTAAGAGCCAGCAAAGTTGCTGCGGCTGTGAAAATACGTTGAACCAGAAAATCTATAAACAACTCAAAGGCACATAAAAGAACCTTTATTCCAAACATTGACACTCAATTCTTTCCCACGTGAAAAGACAACCAGAACACGAACACAAAAGAGGGTAAAGAAAATAATAGGCGATAGACTTCTGTACCTGCAAAGTCCGTGTTGGAATTTGGTCCCGACTACAGCGATGGTCTGAGTAAAGAGACAGGACATGATCCAGCGTATTGTGGTAAACACATGCTTCACGTTGCACTTGAAGTGCAACCTCAATAAGATGCTCTAATCGCCTCTCAGGTACCATGATTGACGGTGGAAGCAACTGCTGTAACTCTTCTAGCAAACTCTGACGAGACTCTTGCCCAGCACCCTTCCATTGGGCTTTCGCAAGCAGGTCCTCTGGAAAACATACTATGAAGCTCGCCAGCTGATGAACTTTGGAAGTGCTGACTCCAAGAGGAGATATCTCTGAGCGCAAAGTCTCCAGCGCTGCAGTTGTATTGCTAGCCTCTAAAGACTCCAAAAACTTCTGTTGCAAAACGAGAAATAATGCAGCCTTGTAGGTTGACTCCTCAAGGACGCCAATTTCAGATAACGTGGCTACGCATTCATCCCAACGCCCTGCCAGGATGTCCTCGCGAAACTGCTGCACAGCTGGCGACTGAAGTCGAATACCTGACTCCTCTTCCAGCACTGCACCTGCCTGTTGATAGCCAAGAGAAAACAGCGCTTGCTCTATGATCCTCACAAATTCCACTTTCCGAATTTGACCATGAGACCCCACCGTTTCGCCATCATTAGAACAAATACTTCTGGCCATTAGGGCGGCGGACCCCGTGGCTGCCACACCTGTCCGAGACCCCTCACAGGGAGTTTTATGACTAGGCTTTGAAAGCTTCTGTCGCTTCAAGGGGGGTTGCCCAACGTCACTATCTCCTCCCATGTAAGGGCGTTAACCCGATGGCTAGCCCATACATGTGAAGAAAAGAGAGGAGAATTTTTAAGTCCCCAAAGAAAACCTCCAAAGATTGGATTGCTGTTTGTCAGCACAGCTCCAATACCCTGTCACAGTCCAGATTCCGGAATTCCAATGATGAGAACAACTACCCACAAAAGTGAGAGGCGACGAAAACAAGCAACGTAAACCCACGCAGATGAAATTACAAGTTCATAATTCTCTCATTCTGATATTACGTGTGACATTACAGGTCAAATCCAGAAAACCCTAAAGCTGGCTTCGAGTTTCACGGTCGAACAAAGAACCAGCCAACAATACTAACTGCGAGAAGAGAAGTTAACACCCGACGGCAAGATCTGCTCTCAACGTGTATGGAAGTTGTGCGCAGATACTGTCCAATCGACAAGGAGCAGAAATCATGTCCGCGTTATTCCAGAAGACGACAACATATCCAATTTAAAAGTCCATCACGACGTTCGAAAACGAAAGAGTGTGGAGCATCGATCCCGAGAGCGACAGATTGCATCTACCAACAAATGAACTATCGTGCGGAAGTGGTTGGTTGGTCAGAGCACGTGATTGCAACAGAGAAGACAGTGCCCAGAACTTCATAATGAAAGCGAAGAAAGGCAGATGTTAAAGGATTCCAAATTCACAGCACTATCCCTAGTCTAAAATATACAATCAACCTATAACCCTAACGTGAAAAACACAACAAACTACTAATTCTTCAACCAGATAGTTAGGCTAGCAACGTGAGAGAATCCAACTCATACACGGAAGCTAACGGAAAGTAAACGGTGGACTCGTTCCCACTGACTAGAAACACGCCCATAATCCGCCCTCACGCTGTGCCTCAACTGAGAGGAGAAACGCAAACCCTAGTCCACCTGAAGAAGTAAAGCCGACCGTACTGCCATCCAAATACGCTGTCAATCGCGTGCCCCGCATCACACTACGACACTAAACCGCCAATGCTTCAACACCCAATAATCTCACAAAAAAACCTTGCCGCCCGACACCGTCCGAGAAAATCCTCATTTCAGGCAACACGAAAGCCCACCCAGGAATCAATCCCACTCAATCCACGGCCGAATCTTCCCTCCTACCGACACCGCATTCAAGACAACCATCATATCCCCATAGCTCCCCTCGGGACTAAACCGCGCGGAAACGACCATATCCTCATCTCTGCACTTCCTGAAAATTGGTAAATTGCTCCGCCTGCAACAAGAAACAGACACCAACCCAATACGCGAAATCTCCAATCCTCCTGTGGGGTGCCAGGCGAACACCACCACCGGCTTACACCCCTTCTTCTCAAGCTTTTCTTTCCTCGGACTCGCAACAACAACAGCGGAGAAAGAGATGGACCCAGGGGAAGAACACAACAAAGTGAGACTTACAGAGGGAGATAAGAGAGCAGAGCAGCAGAAGGCGACAAGATTTGTTATGCAATCGAGGAGGAGGAGGGGGGAGTGGAGCAACGGCGCTGCAGCAACAACATGCATCAATGCTAATGGGAAATGGCAGAAGCAGTACTCAGAAGAACCCCGCAAACACGTTCAACAAAATAAAAAAAATATACAAAACAAAACAAAACTCACGCTGGCGATGAAACTGGAGTACACGTTTCCGCAGTTGCGGAGACAATGACCTTTGACCGCGCGCGAGGTTCTCCCTACCACCGTGGTCTGCCCCCGATTACCGGTTGGAGCGGGTGGCACACCGGCACTGCCCCGTTACCGCCGCGTCGGATCCCGGTGTCTGTTTTTTCCCCTCGCCTGCTCGGGCCACGTTTTTCAGTTATCTCAATTATATTTTATCCTCTAATATGAAGGTACAAGGCTTGATATCATTGGTATGGAAAATCAGTGCCAAAAAGGAACTTGATCTTTTGGTCGTGTCATGTCACATCATGGCATTTTACTCTAATTTACATACTGCTTTTTTCTCACACACTTGGGTGTGTGTGAACTCACATTCTGTGGGCTAATGCTGATGTTATTTTTGTCGCATGACAATCAATCAATACAGAGATTGGATTTCAAAATATCCTGTGTCTATATACTAAAAAACAAAACTATGTCGTGAGTAGCAAATACCAAGTTGCATATTGTTGTCAGGAATTGGGTTTTGTTGTGGTGAAGATATCATATCTGACCATTGCAGTGGTCGATGATGGATTGGTCAGATCCAAAATCATACAATTTTCTAACAAAGAAAATGTAGATTTAAAAATCAATTTTGAACTCGAATTTTGAAAAAAGATCATGGGTAATAAAAATTAATCTGAAATACATGATTAAATCAAATGAATGACATATCAAATATGATAAATAAACGACTATATGAAAGACATATTTAATTTGATTACTTTACATTTCGTGCTAAATAGTATATAATTACGTGGAGATGGTGGAATCGGCCACGTTTTTGCAGTCACAGACAAGTGGGTTCAGTCCCTTCAACTTCAATAATTGATTCGCGATAAAATTTATGTAGACCTGGTAGTGGTCTCCCCGCCAAATATATTGAAACAACAGAGGAACTGCATGATCCGAACTACTGAAACATAACTTTGATAACAGTGAGAATTACTCAAATATCTGGATAACAATGTTTTACATCCCTAGCCTCTAATATTATTGAGCTACAAAATTCAAGTGCTACCCGACAGCTGTACACAGATTCTGACTAATGGATTCAATGTTACCAATTATGAGGTGAGGTGATGAAGACTGAATCGACCTCCTACAAGTGGAGCACCTAGAAGCATCTAAGAACCCCAGACAAATACATCTGCGATATATGTCTAACGACCGTCTGAACTCTGATTCGACTTTAACTGGTTTGAACTGGTCCAAGAGACCCGAATTCGAGCTCTGAAGAAAGTCGTGCATTTCCTTCATGTAGAGAGTGCTGCATTATGACAGGTGGTGCGCCTGAGCCCATTCCAGGATGACCATTACTGGTTTCAATGGGAGACCCAGACGAGGTGTTTTGACTCGTAGGAGAAGGGAGCGAACTCGGGAAAGGTGGAACTCTTTTACCCTCTGTTTGCTGCACTAAACTACTATTCCCATCCAGGTCAGCAGCAGGAGTTTTTTGGTAATTCGTCATGTTTTGTGCTCGAGGTTCATGCTTGTTCTGCTGTCCACGACCTACGAGTACAAATACTAAATAATTAGGAGAAAAAAAGTTCAAAAAGATCTAAATCGAGAAAAAATGAAATCGGTGAAAAAAATAGCCAACTGTGTTCTCAAGATCCCATTATCATCTGGCAAAGTTCATTCCAATACCTTGCCCAGAATTCCTGTACCGATGTATATGCAATTGATTGGATCCTTCCCAATCTTTCCGATCTTGTTGAGCGTAAGCTCCATGTTGATTTCCTCCCCGTCCTCCAGAACGGAGCCTTTCTCGATTAGAATACGCGTGCCTCTGAGTAAATCAAGACACCGGACACATCAGAAAGCTACACACAGAATGTAAACTTCTTCGTCAAAAACACTGCGTAGGTGCCCCAAGAGAAGACATGACGATTTTGTACTTGAAACCTATTCTATCCAATTAAAGAAAAATGTCTAGTACAACAGTAACCAAACCCTCGTCTAGAAGCTCTACACCATTAAATTTTACAACTACAACTCAAAGGGATGATTAGTCGCAATTAGATGAGCAACCCAAAGACATTGATATGAAACTTGTAATTTATTCAAAACAAGTTGCAGCAACCAAAAGTAATCATTCAGAACATTTGTTCTACATCAGTTGGAGTTGACGTGCATCCAACATCGCGACTCCATAACATAAAGAAAAAATGATACCTGGCCATACATGATTCCAACATACATCCACATAATGGACAAGGTTCAAACATACAAGTTCATGCAAATTGCAAAGACAACCTTCGCAAAATTCAAAATACACTTACCGGATCGGGAAAGTAGGTGCCTGTGCCAGCCCTAGACTTTGGCAAGGATTCCTCATTATCGTGGATAGGAAAATTCCGCGGTTGATGTAATCCATCTGCTGTTCGACCACGAGAGGAATACGGCGGAGTCGCTACTCCAACTGGATATGGAATGCTCAGTCCTCCATGAGGGTTTCCATGAAACCTGGCTGATCCCTCCCATAATTGAGGGCCTTGCTGGAACTTGGTTGTAGAATTAGGACTAGGAAAAGCCATGTTGGAATACTGAAATGAGCGCGAAAGATGCTCTCGGTGACTCTCGAGGTCGCCACGGAGTATATCATCCTGTAAATCACCAGTGTCAGCCTTCTGACCGCTCCTGTCTATACTAGATGCTTCCATTTTGTTGTCTGAGTTATGAGGCGTTTTATTGCCTGCCCTTTTTGGCCGCTCAGAAACACCAACACCGACCTAAAATTCCGAGGATCTTCACCTAAGAATTGCTATTTGCAGATGAAAGAAAGATAGGCAAACAAAATGAAAGCTGATTCTTGTCCGGGTATATTTATGTAGATGTCTCGTACAAAGGACCACTATCCTAAGAGGATTTTGATGACACTATTTACCACTCAGTATAAACAGAATATAATATAACTCAGAAGAACGTACTAAACCAACAGAAACAATGACGCCAAGACAGTAAAAACATGCTCATTCGATCTCCCAAACGAATAACTAACCTGTGGCATTGCCCTCATCCTCGAATCTTCAAGTGATCGAGATCCAAGGATGTCTGTTGCGGAATCCATGGAGCCATTGGAATATGCACCACCCACAGTGTCCACTCTAACGACACCATCGGAGCCTGTAGGAAAGACGTAAATATGAGGGTAGTACGGGGTTGGGAAATTGTAAATTGGTTGGGGTATTGCCATAAAAACCGTCTCTATGTGACGATTTCTTAAGGACGAACCCATTGAAACAGCTGCAAACTCAGAACTAGGTGGATAGAAAGAACCAGAGGGACCGCCAGGTACACTAGCAGAAATGGGCGATCGCATCTTTCTCTCCAATGTGGAAGAGGAGGTCGGATCGCTTCCAGCACCTCCTTGATAAGTTGGCACTTGAAGAGACTGATATGCAACCGTTCCGCCAGGTTCCAGGGTACTAGATTGCACAACAGAGCTTTTGTGATGGTTAGAGGGGGCAACACTCGGCATCTCCTCGTAGCTATGAGTTGATGCAGAAAGTGGGAAGTGCAGTGAGGCAGCTTGCAGATTCCCAACCGATGCCTGGCTAGATTCTAAGCTTGGCTGATTTAGCCACTGAAGAGATAAATCAGCAGCACTGCCATCCACACTTCGAACAACTTCCCTTTCATTAGGTGATTCATCACTAGGAGTTATGATTTTTCTACTGTGTTGTTTAGTACCATTTGTTTCTTTCAAAAGTTTTCTCGTAGAGGTCTTCACATCCGAGGTACTTAAAAAACTCTCTCGACTTCTCAAGTCTGGTTCCACATGCTTCACCCCTTCTTCCAACTGGCTAGAAGCTTCAGCTTGTCTCTCATCACTCAACAATGATGGAGATGGGGTTTCATCTATTGCTCCATGTGCTCGCGATCCCGTCGTCTCAACAGCATGGACACGATCTCCTGAAGAGGGTTTTAATTTCCCGGAAACTTGAGGCAGCATCGGAGAAGTACGAGAGCCGGGACGAGCAGAGCCAGTAGAGACAGGTGGATTCTCTGTTAAGAAGGAAAGACCTGGAGAAGCGCTGGAAGAAACGGAAGTCCTATGTCGTGACTGCACTTGGTCCTATGGCATTTAACGGGTCCAAGTCAAAAAATCGTTAAACTTGCCAAAAGTACTCGCTCAAAAGATGAGAAGATCACCGCATCTCCTTTAAGGTAGAATGCATATAGCTGTAACAAATCGAATCCACCTAATCACATACGGTCGCAACACTATGACCTACACATTTCTCCAACATAAATAGCCAATATAGCTGAACATCCCCGAGCAGTATATCAGAGCCATTGAGAAGATCCCAACAAGACGTTATTTCAGAAACTAACAAGAAATCAAAACTCAAAAGGCAGAAGAAAAAAAATGATACACATCCTACACAGTGTCAACATTTCAATAGGGCAAGTGAAACAAACTCGAAGGATCGTCTACTAATATAGAACTCACCTCTAGAGGTGGCCGCAAACGCTCCCACTGCTCATCGGAATGAGGAGAAAGGTCCCAAATATGACTGCCAGCACCATCTCCTAAAGGTGCAACCGAAATCATGTAAGATGGAGCTGCTGGCAAGGAGGACGGCAATATGCCTGAATTCTGCATGGCTAAGTATGAATTCGTCCGATTCAAAACTGTCTCCCCTGACGGAGAACTAGGGTGAGTTCCAGGCAAACTTGAGGCAGAAGGAGGTCCTGCTATACTCGACATAGGAACAGGCATAGCAGAAGATACAGCCAAATGCATTTGAACAGGGTAGGGAAATGGTGGAAACTGAAAAAAAGGAGGGAAAAGGGTTGGAATAAGCACTGGCTGTGACATATTCTGATTACCACAGTCCTGATTGCTCCCATGAGAGGAATTATCGCCGGAAGAGGTAGAGTCTTTCTGACGTGTTAACCGCTTATTGTAAGCGGTACCACTCTCCTCAGCAGCTGCTCTTTCAGATGTGGATGTATCGTTCTCACCATTAGAAAAATCCTTACGATGAAAGCTTCCATGATTAGACCTCATTTTGAATTCCCTGGATACTCCCGGTGGTCGCCCAACGTCATGAGCTGAATAAGGAAGATTAATGTCGGAAATATTCCTGCTTTGAGGCACATCACCATGTCTAAGTGAATCGCCTAACGAGGATCTCCGTCTTACGGGATCTTGACTAGGTGTTACTACTGGATATTCCCCAGTCATCGAGCTTCTAGAATGATTTGCAAATTCGTGGTCCTCGGTAGAACTGCACCAAAAGAAACTACCTTCAGTTATACTAACCCTCGTAAAATTATGCAACCAAAAATCACACAGGGCAATGAAAGCTCAATCAAGAGTTACCTGCGATTTGCTGTCATAGGCTTTTCAGACTGCTCCGGGACATGGCAATAATTGAGGCCTTCATTTTGCACCCTACCTTTATCTCCATCAACAATTGGATACCGGCCCTTTCCACTAACTTGCCTCCACTGTCCTTCGGAACTCGCAATCGAGATGTCAGAAATGGAGTGGCCAGGGCCAGGTTCTGTTCCTTTCAGCCTCTCTGGCTTAGTATCCGAAGCAGACGGCATTGTGTTGACTGTACTTCCCAAATCCCTATCGCTATTACAGAAGAAAGGCGCATCAGTTGTTAAGGTGGTGTCCTTCCTTCTCATATTAGATTCAGTCTGCACATCGTTCATCTGCTCTGCAGTATCCACATCACTACGAGCTCTATTGTCCAATTGTCCTGACCGGCTCACGTACTGAAATTGGGGCCTAACGTTCTCCTCAGAGTAAGTTAGGTTTCTTTGAGAAGAGAAAGGATCTGCTCCGTTTTCTTGCGTATATCCACCAAGTAACCTATGTTGAGAGTGGGCACTTCCAGCTCCAGGAATATGAGGCTGACAGCTACGTGAAAGGGGGTTGCCAGTGTCTGGTCTCCCGCCAATTCGATACCGCTCTAGACTTTTGAAAGTACAGGAAAAGAACGATTTGAACTTTTCATTTATCTGATCTGTAGGACATTCGAGAACTTCTCCAAGTGTGCGCGCTCCTAAACCAAATGCTGAACGTATCCTCTTAAAACTACCTGCAACTCAAAATCCAACAAAATGTACCATGTCGTCATCTACAGCACTGGTTATGACCACCGGAGAACACAAAACCAAGCAAATTAGAGCAAAATGGAGACAGTGTCATACGTCACACTCAATGCTCTACTAGGCCACCATGTTAGCTGTCACGTACACGTCTTTAATCTAAAAAATTGAGATAACCGAATACAGGTGCAAGTTTTCAAAATTTAATCGGAAGGACACTGAATACCCAAGTGCTTGCAAAAGAAATTTATACACGCACCAACATTAACACTGCGACCAAGATTGTTGGTGTCACGTATTGGATCAAGAACATTCAGAAACTTGGTGATAAAATTGCGTCTTTGGCTGCTCTCCTGACCACCCTTAGCATCAGAATATGAATCAATGCAACGCTCAAGAAATTCCTTACTAAGCAACAATTTCCCTCTATCTTTCCGAGGAGCCTCGGCAAAATCACTTATTCGGAACGTCTTCCGAGCAGACCCTGCAAGAACAAAGGAAGCATTTTCCATAAGCACCTCTTGACAATGAGAAGCATGTAGAGACATTGTTCTAGTAACGAAAAGGAAGAAAACCGTGTTTCTTGGTTATAATAATTCAAGAGAAGGTCGGAACGTAAGTAATTTTCTGACGTACTTGAACATGGTCAATCTTTTAAAAGGCTACTTTTGGTAAGAACAAATAGATATAAGCAACGATCAGGACATCAATACAGGGCAGTCATTGATACTGCGCCAAGTTTACAATACTTCATTTTACAGCACAATTGAATGTCATAGGCAAATATGTCACCTAAGGCATGTGACAAGCTTTTAAACCATGAAAAATACTAATACTTTCTATAGTGAAAGAAATATATGCAAAAAACCCTCTTGTCTCGAATTTTACGACAATTTAAACAACCAGACCATAAACGGACGACATACCAGAAGATATTTCCGTGATACGGGCTAGAGGCACTGGACCCCACATGGTAACACAGTATTTGTCCCAATCGAAATTGCAGAAATAAACCAGAAATAGATATAGCACCTGAAATGTATCCGCAAAAAAGCCAATAAATTAGAGAAATATAGTTCGTTGCACATTCTTCACACATAGACTAAACCTAGAAATAGTGATCATTAAAAATTATTATTTTTTGAGGATTTATGCTATATCCAGGAAGCGGCTGATACCACAAGCCACAATAAATGCGACAATGTCAAGTTATGCGGCTGTTAACAAACTAGAAGGACCCACAACAATCCCCCGATGATTGAAACTTGCAAATTTAAGTGCTAACTAAAATCACTTAAAGACTTCGCAGTAGAAGAGACATATAATTATAAGAAATGCTTTTTAAAAAAAGGTTAATTAATTAAAAACCAAGCTCAAAATTCCGCACAGTAAAAGAAAGTCACGTATCTGTAATTAAAGTAAAATGTTCATCAACAGTGAATATTGAAGCACTACAACAGACACTAAAATTGCGAAGTCTCCAGCATGGACACCAACAGCAATGAAACGAAGCTACATAACATGAATCACAGATTATGTTAACTGATTATTTTAATTATATTCTCTAAAATTACCCTCCCTCATGAGCAGTCTCCAATCTATGAACAAGTTCACGACGAAACAAAAATGAACATCATATTGTAAAATCACATTTTCCAATTTTATCACTAACCTCCAGTGGTCCACGTAACCGTCGCTTGGGGTGAAAGACATGGAATATATATAACACAAGGGTCTCCAGAGCATAAGTGGAGATAAGGCCATGATGTGCCCCTAATATGCGACTCTCATAATAGCACCATGCTTTCACCAATATGACGCTTCGTTTAAACAAGTGATTCTGTTTCAATTCAAAATCGTTGCGGTCTATTTCCCTGTCCACCTGCAACCAAAAATCGTTGCACAGCAATGAAAACATTGGTACCATCGACTATTTTCTAATGAACTAGCTCCTTTTGAAGGTGTACACTCCTCTTACAAAATAGAAGGAAACAGCAATTGCACTCAGCGATATTGCTTATGGTTAAGAAAAAATAAAACAAAAACACAAAATCCACCAAAAACATCATCATGGTACAATTAGTCGAGGTAATGGTGATCAACATGTCAATGAGGGCCTCACTACCGATTTAGTGCAACGTTAAAATTGATATGCGAAATAATTACGAGTTCTCTTGTCGCTAGGTTACTCAGTGACAAGTGAAATAGTAGGTCCTTCACCAGGAAAAAGCTCCCGGGTAAAGTACTATACTCTACACCTGAAATAAAAAATAATCATTTTTTCAAATGATTCCTCCTAATGAAGTGTATTTTCATGCCAACTACAATAACCAGCATATGTGCTCTCATATAATTTGATGTCTGCTTTAAGATACATTAGTTGTCTTTCCAACGTCCTTAAGAAATAACATGGCGTACATAAAACTAGGAAATCGGTGTGCTCATGGAGTACCGAGACAATTTTTCTTATTACACAACAACATTAACCTTAAAGGGCCTGGCAGAGTCGAATTCCCTGTATTCGACTTGTGTAGCACCATATTAACATGTTAAAAACAATCAAACACAAGTATAACTTCTTACAACATGGTTGCAGTTGCACCATATCGATGTTTTTAAACTTACGATGAACATTCACTTCACAGGCTGCACCACAGCAGTTGAAGAGATCGGACATCGAAAACAAGTACACATATTCAAGCATAGTCGCAGAAGTAACACTAGTTTCATGCATAAACATAAGGAATTTCCGTGTGCGGTAAGTTGCAAACTACTCGCGCAGACATATAGGAAGGTCTATTTACATATTAGATCGAGTGTTCACCGAAAATTACATCAATTCATCAAAATATCGAGGTTTCTATCAATCCGATTCCTCTACCAGGCATTCTGAGCAACAACAACCCTACTTCCTGATGATGTCCAGCCGCATTCAAACTCAAACCCAAGAATCATCCACATAATATAATTTCAAAAGGTTGAACGTTCACACTGTAAACGATAAACATGTAAAAACGTAGAACATAAGAACAACAAATCAACTCACCTCTTCGAGGAAGCAAAAAGTAGACAAACCCCCAGTCTGATTAAATGAGATGTCAACAACAATATTCTCCACCAGGCACTTGATGAGTTTAACCTGCGACACACAACGAATCCTCAGAGGAAAGCTCTAAAACTTTTAGAGCATACAGTGTCTATTCAAAACGCGTAAATTACAAAACCGAGTGAAAAACCCATATTTTTGAATGAAAATGTCATCCTCCTCAATAGGTTAAATTAGAAAATAAGAAAATTGTTAAAGAGGAGAAAAACTGGAAGTGGAATCTTACTTCGGCCTGTATGTACTGAACTTCCTTCACTCGAAACTCTGCATTAGTATCCTCCTCGGCTTGTTTGAGGGCTTTGACCACATCTTGTGCCCATGTCTCTTTCAAGTCATTTCGAGCAAATATTGTAAGATCAATATCCCCGTCTGGCAGATATGTCTTCAGTGGTACAGAGCCAAATTTCACTACCTGGTAAGAAGCAAAATAACCGCATTAATAGAGCACAGCACTTCCAACCAGATCGTCGTTCACATGAAGAATGAAAACGCGAAACGAAATTTGTCCAAATGACTGAAGTAAACAGCTCATATAAACGTAACATGGAAGCATTGCCCGCCCACTTTCTGCGCTAGCATTAAATCTTGAGCTGGGCAACTGAAAGATCGTAAAGACCGAAATTGCCACACCACTGACAATTTGATAGCATCTAAAGAAGGATACGACCTAAAAATCTTCACATGCTACCAGTCTCCAGCAGGAAAGCCTCTGAAGTATCGAATCTAATTCCAGCCATGTGTGTGAATAGCGGTCATGTGTTCACTTAACTCTCTTGCTAGATCAATAATGCTGTGTAAACAGTACTGATTGCAGTTCAGCACTGCTTTAAACAAACCATCTTAACTGACTAATTCAGAAATTCGAGATACATGTGAAGGCCGTGAACATTACAGATTGAGAGCAACCTTGCCAGGATCAATACCCTTTGCCAACTGTGCAATTCAAATCTATGCCCAAGAAATAAGCACGCTTCTTTAAAAGTGGGTTAAAAATAACGGAAACTTGTGAAGGTATACATCAAAGTTTTCGAACTTAAAAGTGTATTTGGCTCCAAAGCCACTGACGAACACGCATAGCGCAACAAAAATCGAACTTTCCATGACAATTTATGTAACCGGCACAGATGCGAACACGCTCCCTGAATCTGTGAGAAGGAACAGAAAGAAGTGTAATTTCTACATTAAGTGCAGGTGGCGAGCTAAGACCTTGCAATCAAAGCGATCTCTGATGAGGCGCTGAACAAAAGCAGTAACAGCTGTCCGTCTCTCCTCAGATGATCGAGTAGGCTTAATGGAATCAATAAGTTCAGCAGTGTGGCCTTCCACTCTACTCCACCAACCATCTTCCAATTTAGCTGCCGAAGAAAACGCAGTAGCGAACTGAGAAGCACCTTCCGTAGTGAGGCCGTTTGGCTGTGGCCAGCTTTCAGGATAGTCCATGCAAACCCTTGCCCCACGCGGCACCCTCTCTTTACTTCACTCGATTCTCGCCAAAACGGTACTCTTCCTCCTCACCAACCTCTCTCACCTCCCTCTGTTCCCACGCCCTCCCACCTGCCTTAAGTCTTCCTCAGTTCCATTCTGAAGGCTGACTTCCCCCAGTCAATGAATGGTCTCCTTCCGTGAATATCCAAACCTCTTTCCTTGCCCTACTCGTTCAAGGCGACTCTGAGATAATCCGGTGTAGCAACCAAGAATATACTAATAACTTGCTTCAGTTACAATAACACGATCAACTGAGCTTAGGAAGTCCATATCCATCACTGCAGAGATGGCCACCATACGTGTCTTCATCCTGGTGCATCTTCACAGCATGCTAAATCGATGACTGATGAATTGCGGACTACGTTAATAAACTGCAATCAACAGCAAATATTTTCAGTTCTCGAAGATGATACAAAAATACAGCAAGAAACCAAAAATAAGCATAACACAATAAATAATATGAAAAATGAAAGTGTGCACTGCAAGTCGGAGCCAGTATCCCATCAAAACGAATACAATAAAATGGATTCGCATAAAATATAAAAAAATAAAAACTATAACAAACTGAGCCTCGTGAAATTGTTCAACCTCCCCAGTCTCCGAAAATACCAACCAACAATAACAAACCTTCTCTGATTCTGGATACATTCACTACATAGAAAGACCATGTGATCAATCGAGACTTACCAACTCAACCTAATTGCTCCCATTCATACACTATGAAGAAGGGCTCGAGTGGGTAAAACCCGAAAAATCTCAAACCTACGAAGTGATTTTGGTCGTAGTCTCCTTTAATTCCCTGCGAGAAATGATCATGAGAGGCAGTTATTCGATAGCGTCACTATACTCTTCACATTCGATAGCGTTACTTGATTCTTATCCTAAGTGGGTCGAACCCCGATCAGACCTCGAAATCCGCACAGCTACAGCTATCGACGCCAAAAGGAACAGAATGGACACATCGCATCGTGACCAAAATCAGCAGAACGAGTTCAGACGCAAGCCCCTTCAGCCATCCACTCTCCTAGCTGCTTCACTGACACATGACTACTTCACCAGATCCCTAAAGGACTCCAAAGCTAAGTTTGAAATTCGAACTATCGCCGCAGCACTCCAGAATTCCTCCCCACGACCCGCCACCTAACACACCCCTCACCGAGACGTTAAAACCCAACCGAAGGGATCCCGCGTTTTGAAATAATGATATAATCGAACAAATTGGTGATGGAAAATCCCCGCCACCAGCTATTCAATTCTACATCAACGCAACTCAGACTGCAAACCCAAATGTCAACGGCGACAAAAAAAAACAACGATGGAATGAGGAATGAACAGTGAACCAATACAATGTCAACATGAAACCCAATATAAATACAGATGCGCAGAATTGAAAAAAATAATAATAATAATAATAATAAAATAAAAAATGAAGGTAGGCATTTGAGTAAACACGCACCGTGAATTTTAAAAAATAAAAGATAAAACAAGAAAAAGTGGAGAGAATGACAAATGCTATCCTGCTTCCAAACCCTCTGGCCCTCAATTCGACAAAACCCAATTTCCTCCAAAACCCAATTTCCTCCAAAACCCGACCAACGGTGCTTCGTCAATCACTCACTCCACCACAGCAGCTTCCACAGAACGAGACGGAGGATTGTGGAAGGGCAGTAAGGGTGCACCCTACAGCTGGGAGGCTGAGGACGTTGCCGAAGCCCTAATCGTGAAGAGGGGAGAGGGAGAGGCAGAGGAAGAGGCTTCGTGGAATAGAAAGAGGGGGAGGTTCACAGAAACTTTAGGGCATGCACGTCATTGCGACGGATCATCCCGCGTTGCACGAAGGCTTCCACGTACGATGATGATGCTGCTGCTGCAGGTGCTGTTACTGCAAGGAGGAGGAGAAGGAAGAGGAGCGGGGGACTGCAATTCGCAATTCTATTCGCTTACATTTTCATGTCAGTTTCAGTTTCATTCCATATCCTCCTCCGCCAGCACCCTCCTGCTCCTGCTACCCTCCCCCTGCACAAGCCCTAATCTCGTCTCCACCCCTCCCTTCCTTCCCAAAAGTGCACGATGCCCGCTGCCCCCAGTCCCGCCGTTTGAAATTCACGACGAATTTCTCCCTTTCTCTCCCTTCCCAAAGACGAAGACAACGACGACGACGGAGATGAGAAGAAGGAGAAGAAGAAAGAGGAGGAGGAAGAGGAGGGGAGGTGAAAAACTTGAACATGCTTTGCATGCTTTTGCTTGCTCACCTGCTTTACACTCCCAAGCCCCGTCTATTGCAATGGACACGAAGGACACCAGGATTTCCTTTAGGGTTTCGTACATCACAGTCCACCTTACTAACAACCTAGTGATTTTATTTTTTTTGTGTATTTCTTTTCACTCAAACTTGCATTTTTTTTCTTTCTTTTGTTGATTTTTTTAATGGATTATTATTATTATTATTATTATTTCTATTTGTGTTTATGTAGAGAGATGAATAAGGCATTTGTAATCAATATAATGAAATGGATTTCAAATAAAAATATGTTGATGTGTATGTATATTTGTATATAAATTTTTAGTATAGAAAGAATGGTGATAAAGACTAAAAGATTGTAGAATTTGTTCATTAATTTGTGGTCTGAATATTTTCTAGATTATGGTGCAACTATAAAGGGTATTATTAATGTTACACTAGATTTTGCTATTGCCACCATAAATCCCTATCCACCACATGCCAACTTTGTTTACTACCTTTCAAACCAATCAAATTGCTTTGTTCAATATCTTTTAAACCATTTGATTGAGTATATTTTATCTTGTAATAAAAAAATAATGACACCAAGTGGTTGGCGTTGTCGTGGCATTAGCAACACCTAATATAAAATTTATTCTTATTTTATTTAGTACTAAAAATATCTTAAATAGATGTGGAAGTATTATCCTTGAAATTCAATCATGTAGTCTCTTAAGCAATTTATTTGTATTTTTTTCTTTATTTAATGCATTAAATAAATTATTTTTAATAAAATATATTTAATTAGATTACAAATAATTAACTATATTTTTTATAAATTCTAGAATATCTTATAATATTTAGATATTATAATTTTGAAATAAGACATTTTTTGCTTCATTATTATAATTTAATTTGTGGACTACAAAACCAAAAGCCAGAAACATAAATTTATTTCATATCCATCTAATCTAAATACAAAAATTATTGATTGTGCTTATACTAGTTCTACATATGAAAAAAAACTTTTAAATAATTTTTTAAAGATTTAATATCACTAATTTAAGACTATACAAACTAATACTACAATTTTATCTAAACAATAGTATGGTTATACTTAGCTTGGAATAATGACTAAGATATATAAAAAATAGACCATATAGTTTTAGTAATAGAATTTTGTATGAGCATAAGTCTAATAATAATATTTATTTTTTAAAAAAATTATATTTAAAAGAAAAAAATTAAAACAAAAATATCTAAGTATTTTTGTATAATAGTTTAAATAATACATTCGTAGTTTTTTATTAACTTAAAAAAAGAATACTAATAAAGTAGATAAAAATATCTATTATATAAGACAACTTGGATATAAGATAAAGAAACAAAGAAGTATTTTGATTGGATGTTGAAAAAGGAATTTAAGGAACTTAGGGAATACAAAGTGGTTAGAATCTTAAGTACTTCTAAGAACCAAGTTTTTGGCACCTTGAGAATTTTCACTAACTGATTCATTTTTAAGATTAAGCACATTCAATCAATCAAAACAATGATCAAATTTTCTTTTAGATCAATTTTGATAATATATTCAATTAGAGTTATTATATATCATAAGCCAAAATAGGTCACAATTGTGACAAAATCCAAAATATTATTGGCATTTATTATACACATATTAATATTTGGTCGAGACAAACTTCTTATATTAAAATATTTAGTAGTAGGTTCTAACATGAAGAAATTTTTAAGATTGTGCAAGCTCCAATGTAAATTACATCTCTACAAAGCTTTAACTTTTGTTGCTGCTTTATAGTGCATTATTTTTTAGATAATCTTTTGGTCTGCACTGACATCATATGTATTTTCTAGTAGAAGCTAGAAGCAATGTAAGAAGAAGCAAAGGCTAGAATGTACCACTTCAATATATATATATATATATATATATATGTATAAGTTCCATCAATGGATCTTAATTGGTAGATTAATTAAAAATATAATTTTAAGTCATTTAATTTTATATATATATATATATATATATTAAGTATTTTTTAGTAGAATTTAGAAGTACTTATAAATTACAAAAGTCTTATTAGAAGAAAAGTTATTGGAATAGAGCCTTAGTAAGTCTTGGAGGTAATTATTTTCATTAATTTAATAATTTTTTTATTGCTAAATAATAATGTTTAATTTTTGAGATCAATATTTACTTTAGATTTTTATCTACATGTGATATAAAAATAAGCCTATAAATGTTAGTTAGTACTTAAAAAGAACATAAAAAAGAACCTCGTGTCTTTTTAATTATCTACATATAAAATAAGATATTTAGTTAATTTAAATTAATTTTATTACTATATAATTTATCAAGATATAAAAATATATCCAAAAAATTATATTATAATTATAGAAGTATTATAAGAATTTTTAAATTTTATCAAGCATATATTAAAAACAAAATTTCAAGACTTTTGTAAAATTGAGTTTTACCATCTCAGGAGCTATTATGATGAAATCGAGAAATATTTGAAGGCCATACAATCTTCTTGGACTAATTAAGTGATTTTAAATGCCAAAATAAAGTAAAAAATGGAAAAAATAGTTCTACTAGTAGTAAATAGGATGACCAACAGTTAATATAGTTCTTATAGAAAAGGATGTATTCAAGTCTCATATGGATTGTAGCACCTTAGGTGTAGATAAAATGATAAGATCAAGGCCTCAAAGAATTTATAAGATATCCTAATACAGTATTGGTGAAGCTCAAATCCTTTATCTATAAACAAGTTATCTTTAAGTTAAAGTATTTTCACTTAACTTTTCAAATATTTACTTCATATCTTATAATCTTTGTAACTTACTCATAATAAACTAGATTTACAAGTTTCTTACATCATTTGAAAGATAATAAATTACTTATTTAAAAATATAACTTTAATTTTTTTATCTTTATTTTTTATTGGATGAAAATCTAGTGAAAAAATTGTATCTAGGTTTTGAAGTATGTAATTGTTAGATTACATTCTTTTCACTTGTTTTTTTGTTTGTTGTTTATTTTTTCTTGTTTTTTTTCTTGTCTCACTCTACACCACCAATTAAAAGCAACTCTTAATTGAGGCTATCTTGTAATTTGAATTAAGAGGTGAAATGGTCTTGAAAGAATAATCATAATATATATATAAGTAATAAAAAGTAAAAAAATTAAGTGCATCTAATTAAATGCTTTGAAAGTCTTGCATAAAAGTTAATATTAATTATTTCTTATCCATTGTAATTTAATTTAAGTTATTAATCTACTAATTAGTTAAGATTCATACATACATTCAATCTACATCCATTTAATCTATATAATGGATGTCATTTCTATTTTCATCCTTAAAATCCATCACATCTTAATCGATAATTTTATCTAAATATTATATCTATGTAAAATTTTATCTATTGATATAATAATTCATTCAAGTTGATCTTTAAATCTTTTTAACTTTTCATCTAAGTTTCATCCATAATAACTAATTAATAGACAAACAACGCCATTAAATTTTTAATTAAAGAAATTTGGCACTTCGAAATCCATTGATGCATCTATCTTCATAAATTAATGTATGATGGATGATTTCTAGCTTTAAATTAAATTCAACTAGATTTATTAAGAAAAGACTTATAAATATATCAATCTTCTTAATTCTACATTCAAATTTGATTGTATCCATCTAATATTGCCCTTCAAAGTTCATGCTAGAATTCAAAAAGACATCATACATCTTTCTATAAAATTAGTATTAACAATGATCATTTAATAGGATAGTTTTTATGCCATAGTATGAAATTCTATAGCTCATTGAGAAGACCTATTAACTACTTTAAAAAAATTATAAAGATCAAAATATGTATTAAATATAATTTGATCCATTTTGAACTTTTTTAATATGTAATTATACCAATTTTCATAGAACTTGTTTTTATAAATAAAAATAAAATAAAAACTATATAATTTTATGATATATTTAATTATAAAATTAAAAATTAATAAAATTATATAGAAGTAAATAAAAGTAAATAAAATTATACACATTTTATTTTGAAGCTTCTTAAAAACTTTGTAGACACAAATTTGATTTTTTACACATTTATAGATAATTGGTAGGATTAAAATTTAGCCCATAAATTAGCCACATTTTATATTGTATGTTATAAAATATAAATTAATCACATATAATTGTCATAAATATATACAATTATCTAAATAAGAAGTATTTGTTAGAAGATAAATGAAAGTAGATTTGATAATATCTTCTAGAAAAGCTTCTTATAAGCTTTATAGATACACATTTGAATTTATACATGTTTTTAGTTGATTGATACGTTGTAAACTTCACTAATAAGTTGGCTATATTACACACTTATATGAAACTTGTTTTCCAAGTTACATACATATCTTACAAATTAGAAATGTATTGAAGGTCCTAAACCATATTACTATGTAGCTTCTAATTTGATAGTATATACAAAGACAAGAGTGAAGCCTTCTTCATTCTTATTAATATCTTTCTTCTACTTAGTCTTGTTTCAAGAGTCTTTAGTGCTCTTGATTTTAATAGCAATCATTTAAATTTTTATATTATTCCATCTTTGAGTAATTATCTATTTTTTTTAGTAAAATAAGAATATATTAATCTTTTGATTCTTTAAAAATCATATCCTTGATAATTTGAAAAGAATTTTAATTTATTTATTTTTTAAATGAATAAATTATTTTACTTTTCTTATTGTATTTAAAAGATTATAGACTACTTATTTTTAAATTATTATTATTTTTTAACATAGATTCTTTCTTTAAATTAAATAGATTATCTTTTTTTGTAGAAATTTTTATTTGATATTAGAGATTGCAGATTATCTTCTTTTAATTTGACTTTTGGATTTATTAAAGTTTTATATTATAAAGATATAAGAAAAAATTATAGATGATATATATATATATATATATATATATATATATATATATATATATA